GACAGCTGGGAGCAGAGTTCCTCCAAGAAAATCTCGGGGTGCGCATCTAGGATGTCCATCTCTCAGCAGTGTCCCGGCAGCTGAGTAGAGATAGGTCCCATTGGGGTGCCAAGTTGACTTGCGGAGAAAGAAAACTCTACAACTGTGAAGTTGTAAAGTAGGTATGTTTATTCAGTGCTGGGCGCATGGGGGATCACTCCTCCACAAGCATGCGAGCCCCTTGCAGCTCTCGTCCTGCTTATATATTACAAAATAATGCATATTCATAGAATGCTTATACATAAACATAATATTTTCTTGCCTGCCCTCGCTTCTCATGGTAATTATGTCTCCTCCCCTTGCGTCTGTACGTTGAGCTCCTTCGGTGGTCGCAAATTCCTGGGTGGGGGTCGTATAGATGAAGTATCTCCTTTTCCTCGCTGATGAACTTTTTACCTTGTCCTTCTGCGCAGCCTCAGTTGTTCCCTGGCTCCTAGCTAAACCGCAAGACCAGTTTGTACTAGGATTTAAGGTGATCTGTTGCTAATTTGTACTACTTGGAGGACAAGAGGAAGCTTCTGTTTGAGCCAGAAGATAATATCTTAGCAACACTATCAAAACCTGGTATCTCTTCATGCATAGCCCCCTCATCTTGGCGCAAGCTCCTCAGTCCTGCGCCATCAATCTAAAATTATTTAAATTCCCTATCTCATAGTGAATAGCTTTATGCTCATTCCAGACTACCGCTACAGACTCCATCTCCCTTCAGGATTCCCCTTCCCTTGGAAAGATGGTACAAAAGGTGACACGGTGCCAAGGCACTGCTACTTGCTGGTCTCTGTCCAAGGCACCCACTGTGAGATCTGCTGCCACAGATGAAAACATACTTGGTACACTGGCTTTCTCGGTTCTCCTCCCAAGACCTTTGCCTTGAAGAAATGTCTTGCAGGCATGGGGAACAGGCTCCCTGCATGCCCCATTAAGGAGAGACTATGGAGATCTGAGGATTTTTTCATTGTTTGCTTGCCTTCTGGTGGTTGTGGCAAAGAGGACAGTGAAAAATGAACAGCAGCTGTGCCCTCCTTCGCCTTACAAAACTGTCTGCCAGCTCTTTCACAGGTTATACACCCGGATTTGTAGCTCCTTCTGTATCTTTCCTCGCAAATGCCACTACAAAGCTACCAACCCAATGCAGACCGGGAAGACAAATGCATGGGAGTGTGGTTTAGCTTGCAGATTCCCCATTACTGGTGGTAGGAGAGTAGGACTCTCTGAACAGGGGACGGCATAGTGCCAATCTAGCTGCTGCTTCTCAACACACATCTTTACAAGCACAACGTGAAAGAGGAGCTAAGCTTGCAAAGAGTTAGCGCAGAGGTTCAGAGACACACATATGAATGGCAAGGAAACACATGCTAAATTTCTCTCCATCCCACTTTTCTCCCATCAAGAATCTGGTTACAGCCAGAATCACTTGGATTCTATCAGAGCTGGTGTCTTTCAAGTATCTCCCCAGAGTTTCTGCACCCTGGGAACAGGCACTTCTCTGGATCATGAGGCAGCACTGCACCCTTGTAGCGACAAGCGCTGTGCCAGCCAGAGCGCAGCCACCATGTGGGAGGAGGAGACTATGGGTTCTCCACCCCTCAGGATGCTTCAAATCTCGACAGGACAAGACAGCTCTGAGCAACCTGGCCCAGCTTTGGGGTTAGCCCTACTCCCAGCAGATGACAGGACTAAAGGCCTCTAGCAGTCCCCTCCCACCCAAACCCTGCTGTGTTTCTATGCTAGAACTAGCTGGAGACGTTTCCTGGAACATCCTTGGATCAACACTTGCAGGACAAGTTTATGACAATTTTATCTACAAATGGAAGGACAAGTTACCTGCAGTCTTTCTCAAGACAAGCAGAAATAACAGCTTCTCACCAGTGACAGAGACACCAATTACTTGTTCAGTACTAGAAAAACCTGACATCAAAATACCTTCCATTAGCCTAGAAGCCAAGCCCAATCACAGCTTTTAAGTAAGAAATAAAGCTATACATATTCTTACAAAAAGGAGATAATATTTCTTAGCGTTCTGGTAAGAAACAGACATTGCGAGGAAAAAAAAAATATGCAGACTTCATCACCCTTGCACAGAGAAAAACAGCCAGCCCTTTTCTGTCATGAAGTTCATAAAGGACTAATTTAGACTCAGGCTTTGGGGTCCAACTGGGGTCATAAAATTACTGCCTTCTCCACAGACTAGCTCATGAACTGAGAGCAAACAAGATAACCTCTTCCAGGAGAAAGGCATTGTCATTTATAAGACTCCTACGGCAAAACATCAACAATTCAGCTCAGCGTATTGAGTCCCCACTATTACTCATCTGATACATTTAAGTCACAATCCTCGTTTTATTTTGATTTGTCCTTGCTGTGTTCCTGTAAAACACAAAGAACTCTGACATAGTATGCAGTCTTTGTGGTATTCATAAATTTACCCTTCGGACAGACAACTACTGCCCATGTCTGACAATTATTTTCATTGTCTTCTGCTGAGTTTACTATTGCCAAAGTTCTCCCAGGCAGGGGGCAGGAAGGGGAGAACAAATAATTACCCATTTGCTAGGACTACAGAGTCACGACTCAGCTATTTGTTGACAGTCAGCTCAACTACACATCCCCCCTGAAGAACGTACATTGCCTGTATAGCCCCAGAGCCACAAAAAAATTCACATGTCTCTCTTGGAAAGCCTACAGACATACCTCGCACAGAAGCTTTCAGTAACTCAATCTTATCCATTAAGCCTGCAGTCCTAATATCCACATCTGCACCCTCTGACTGTGAATCGCTTGTATCAGCACCCCAGTAACAGGCTTCCTGTTGAGAGAAAAAGAGAAAAGTCATTTTGCTGACAGCTGGGTGAATTTATTTTAGAAACCCTTCTCAGCACTGCCTTGTTGCACAGCTCTTCCTAGACAAACCCCTGCCTGGGATATCTACTGGCATTACACAGAGCAATACACAGGCCCAGAAGACGGAGGAAGGAGGGAAGTCTGAGCTATCTTCACTCCTTTCATGTCCTGATCTGCTCCAAAGGCAGCAGAGGACAAAACAAAAGATATCGGGGCAATTCTGGAAGCATCAACACACCGTCTGGCAGACAAGCACCACTACCTCTAGATCGGGGTTCCGCAGATCAGCCTGCCACCCAAACTGCTTCACGAGTGGTATGCCAACGGCTCTTCTGATCTCCTGCAAGGGGGAAGAACAGTCACAGGCAGCAAAATTAACAGAATAAAAACTACAAATCATAGCCTTTGACTGTACAATCCTCAGAAACACCTGAGAAAAAAAGAAAGAACCTCTCTCTACCCCCAGAACAACTCATACAAACACCAGAAGCAGTACAACAGGGCGCGGCGATCAAGTGAGGGGCAGAGAGCAAACACCACAGGACAAAATGACTGTCACTCATCAGCAGTGTGGCTGAAGTTCAAGTCCTGCCCAAGTTACAACAAAACCAGTCACTGTTTTATAAAAACCTATGAGGCACAAAATATTTCAGATGTCTGTAAACTGGATTACCCAAGAGAGTATCTGTGAATGCACAACTGCAACTCACAATTTTAATGCTTTTGTGGCATCCAGCTCAGACTACTGACTTGCGGAAACATGACTCTACAACCGTGGAGTTGTAAAGTAGGTAGGTTTATTCAGCGCTGGGCGCATGGGGGATCGCTCCACCACAAGCATGCACACCCTTTGCAGCTCTCGTCCTGCTTATATATTACAAAATAATACATATTCATAGAATGCTTATACATATACATAATATATCCCCGCCTCCCCTCGCTTCTCATGGAAATCAGGTCTCCTCCTCTTGCGTCTGCACATTGAGCTCCTTTGGTCCTGGGCGGTGGTCGCAAATTCCCGGGTGGGGGTCATATAGATGAAGTATCTCCTCTTCCTCGCTGATGAATTTTTTACCCTGTCCTTCTGCGCAGTCTCAGTTGTTCCCTGGCCCCTGGCCAAACCGCCAGGCCAGTTTGTGCTGGTATTTGGGGTAATCTATTGCTGCCACATATACTTTAAATGACCAGAGGAAGCCCCTGTTCAGGCCAGAAGATAGTAGCCTAGCAACACTATCAGTATCCAGCATGTCTCTGCACACAGTCAACAGCCTTGCACAAGCTTGAAGTTTGATCTCGCTGCATCCCCTAAACTTCCCATATCACTACCTTCACAGTATGAGAGTTCAAATGCACAGCACGAATTAAAGCAAACATTGGCAGGCTCATGTGTCCCACCTTCCCAAGGTACTAGCTTGAGTAAGGGGGAAAAAAAAAAAAAATCTAGTTAAACTACTGTTAACTTCAAGTAAGAGAAATCTACATAAATTGCAGTTACACAGGGTTGGGTTTTTTTTGTTTGTTTGTTTGTTTGGTTTTTTTAATTTTATTTTTCTCACAGTAGAAGGGTATTATAGATGGGAAGAGGGCTGGATGGAAGGGGTGCCTGGAGGTCTCTACACCACCACTCTCTCCCAAGGACCAAGATCTACTTCAGGACACATCCCAGGGCTGCACCACCCTCCTGGAGAATAAATTCTCCCCAATACCCAAGAAGAGTCCACCAAAGCTGCAAAGTTTTGGTTTTGTGCTTTCTTTTCCACCCTCTGACACAATTGAGAGGAGTCTGCCTCCATTATCCTTGCAATGACCCTTTAAACAGCTGTAAGCTACTTCCAGATCTCTACAGGCCCAGCCACCTCAACCTCTTATCTGTACTTAGGCTCAATAAAAGACATCCATTTGAAAGTATTCACGGTAATAGTGCCCAGAAATTAACAGTAGCCCTTGTATTTCCACTTGTTTAAGGGAAATGCAGGTTAAGGGTTTTTTTTCGAGAAAATAAAGGAAAAGGCTAGATCTGTTTGTTATTCTAAAACACACAAAGTTGAAATGACAAACTACACATCTCCACCTTTGCCAAATGCTTTTAAAACACAGATACTTTAGCATACCTGTGAATGAAGTATTTTGGCAACTGCTCCACTACAACGACAAGAAACTCTGAAACTGAGCTTCTCATTCACAACAGGCTTCTCTCCACCGCTTTTGGAAGGGTCTTCTAAGGAAGTCTTACTTTCAGTCCAGCAGTCTTGATCAATCTTTCTCTCTGGCAACATATACCTCTCCACAGCTTCCACTTGATATTCCTCAGACATAGTCTGTTCCGTTTTCTGCTTTTAGTTGCAGTTTTTGTCTCTTCTTGTGATCTTCTCTTGAGACATACCATTTTTTTTCCCCCTCACACCCATGACTGTTTTTCCAAATAGAGAGAACATCCAGCCAATACTTTGGTTCATCAATGACAAGGCTTTTAATCTCATGCAGCATTTTCCCTGGAGGAAAAAGCAGTTTCAGGTTAAGGAGTTCAGTCTCAGCATTTGATTTGGTATGGATTCAGAACACCTGTTAACACAGACTGTGTTCAGATTGCATTAATATGCAAATCGAGGAACCACCGCAGTGGTAGACATCACAGACACATCTGAGTTCTCAACACCCACATACATCACCCGCAGAGACACATGTATCCCTCTGATTAGAAGCTCTGTAGAAGCAAGATTAAACTGTGCAGGGATTGAACTCTGCAGCTCTTGAAAACCACACCAGCTCTGAGAGCCATTCCCAGGGACACAGGACCAGCCATCCTCCCCAGAAAGTTTCGGTCCAGGATTAGAGATGGGAGACACCTTCCAGGATTGAAAGACAGACATAAACTTGAATCCCTGATAGAGCTCAGAATAAAAGCCACAAGTGTATTTTTTATAAAGGAAATCTCTCCTTGCTATTCACCAACCCACCTTCAATCCTGCAAAGTCTCCAACACACACCTAAACTTTGACCTGTGGGGGTAGTCCTCTTAGGCTACATATGACAAGAGAGGCATGAGGACTACAAAGGCTAATTCACTTCAGAACCTTGAAGCTTGTCAAAGGAGAGGAAAAAAAAAAAAAAGTATTTCAAAATCTCATTTTAAATTTTAGAATCATGGCTAAATTTGATCCTCAAAGCTGAAGGCCATCTGTGATCTCACAGGTAAAATCCCACCAGCAGGCAGATATCAACCCACCTAACTTGAAATTCTTATTCCAACACTGACAGAGAACGTGACTCAACTAGCTGAGATTACAAGGTATCTACATACTGAACAGTTAAGTGACAATCACAGGATACACATCTGGATCCACTTTGCCTAAAAGAAAATTACTTACTGCTGGAATGCACACAAGAGGTCCAGAACTAAACTTCTTTTTCAAGGTGAGGTGGGTTTTTTTGTTGAGGTTTGTTTTTTTTTTTTTTTGTAGGTGCTGGTGTTACACAAATATATGCACTGTGCCAGCAGAACACACGCAGGTAAGATAACTAGTTCGAACAGTTTTAAAGCCATGCGCAGCACTAGAAAAGCACTGAATACTTATCTGAATGAAAGACGCTTCAGAATTGATTACTGACAATTAGAACGACAGATGTTCGTAAATAAATAAACCAAGCATTAATTTTACAAATGGGACTCGAACTGGGGCTTCCCTTTTCTGCACACACACCTCGTGAGCAAACTGGAGGGGATGACCCGAGGCAAGGAGTCACTGATGCACCTTTATTTCTAGAAACTGCAAGTGGGGGGTGGTTTTTAAGCAGCAAAAACAGTCGCTCTCCAGACTTGAGTTTCCTCAGCTCGCCCAGCTCCGCCTCTGTGCGAAGAAGACTTTTCCTGAGACGCAGTCTGCCCCAGGGGGACAAACAGAAACCAAACCAAACCGGGAAGGTGTTTTGGGTGAGCACCTGAAGCAGCCTCTCACACCCGCTTGCACCTCCGCGGGGAGGAGGGTAGCGCAGGCCGTGGCTCACCGGGGGTGGCGAGGGGACACGGCCTGACCGAGGCAGATGCCCCTGCCTACAGCAGGGAAAGGACCACACGGTCCTTGTGGTCCCTCCGTGACCAAGGACAGACCCGCAGGGCCCCACGCAGCTGACGGCAGAACTCCACGCCGCAGCCCCCTGGCTCTGGGACACGAAGCGAACGAGGCCGCATTCCCCACAGACCCGGCCTGCCCCGAGTAAGCACCGGCTCCCCCCCTCACCTCCATGGCGCCGAGCCGCACCACACCTCCCAGGAGAAGAAGAACTCCAGCCTGCGGCCCGCTGTGCAGAAGCACCGCCCGCCCCAGCTGCCGCCATCTTGGCTGGCCCAGCTGCCATCTTGGCTGGCACCACTGCCATCTTGGCCAGTCGGGGCGCCTGGCGGGAGCGGCCCCCCCTCGGTGAGCCCATCAAGCCCCGCCCTGCTGCTGCCTGTGCCAGGGCTGGAGCAGTACTTAGAGCACCGGATTCGAGTATATTTGTACACCCCGGGGGGCAAAACTTCCCCTGCTGCCACCGGAGCGCGTCACCGCTAAAGGCGCTTGTCACCGTGAAGAGGAGGTGGCGCCCTGCGGGCCCGTCAGTGCTGGCAGCGAGACGAGTTGCAGCGCAGCTCTTGCTCCTCCTGTTTCAGGAATAGCCCGCGGCCGCGCTCCTGACGGGGCTGTGGGGAGAGGAGGATTGCTGTGACGCAGCAGTGGGGGTTGCGGCCACACCATATGCGAGGAAAATCTGCAGACAA